GCGGCTGCTCAAGCGCCATTTGTAAGCTCAAAGTCTACCTCGGTCATGTATATTATTATGTGATATAAGAAAGCCATGCAGGAAAACTTTGCTAGTGGAATGTTCGCTATATTAAACGTAAGTTAAAATTACAATTGTCTCGATTTGGATACAACATGCACTCGTGAGTTTTTCAAAGACCTCAAATAGCACTCGTCCTTCGGACTCGTGCTATTTTGAGGTCTTTGAAAAACTCACTCGTGCATCTTATATCCAAATTGCACTCGAAACCATGCTTTTACCTATACAAATCACGGGCGTGACATCAAAGGTGTGACGTGATGTTTTGTGTGCCGCGAAAGCTTGGGTTCTAATGCACAGGATTTTGAAAATATACAATATTTGCATAATATGTAAATGTATTTATGAATTTAGAAGCACTGCCAAGCAAGATATATTGAATAATTCAGGTTCCGTACACTTTATTTTGACTGCCATTTAGATAGCATATTATTGTTGTCAAATTGAATTGTTCCTATAAAGCCCGTGCTTATATGTCTAAAATATACTTTTTTGAGAACTTTGTTGTGTTATAGTATATTAAAATTGGACTTGTAATTTTACATTTTGTCAACGTGTTGTACTTTTTCAAATTCTCAAATTTTCATCTATATAAAGTCAAAATCAGATTTGCCAAGGTATCTACAGTGTATCAAAACAATTCGAATCCAAATTTGACAGACTGCTGTTTATAATAAAGTAAACCAGAGGCGGCCGTGCGCCGCCTTGCTCTGTAAAATTATATGATTTTGTCATTGCTTCTTTGGATTTGTAAACAAAATATATAACGAATTGGTAGATAAAGTCGACGTCTTGGAAAATCTGTGGTATTTTTCAAATTATCTTGGTCATTTATTGAGTAATTGGTGGATTTTTGCTCATTTTTGTACCGAATCTGACATTTCTCGTTGCCTTTTCCGCTCGCGCAAGCTAAACGGACGGTTAATCTCACGAGTGCAAACGAACACGCCAACACGCGCGCTTAATTAAGCGCGCGCGCTAATTAATAAGAACAAAATTAATACAATTCCTAATCCTATTAGAAATGATTTTCCCAAAATTCATCTACGTTATTGTTTTTCTGTGGTTGGTTGTACGTGGAATAAAAAATACGAAAGAAACCAAGATTAATTTGTTCTATGCCTCAACGAAAATGCTTGGAACACCGTATTCCTATCGACTTCGTCGTGTTAAGAGACATGTAACTTTGCTCTCGGTTCATCGTTTTGTGCACGGACTGTTATTGTTACAGAGATCGTCTTTGCCTTTGCTGTTAATTCTTTTAGCTAACGATGTGGAATTAAATCCTGGTCCAGTTATTTCATCTGAGCATCTCGAACACTGTTCATCCGTCGTAAATAATCGAAGCAACACCATCGCGACTGAACGTAAGACATTTCGCTGTTTGAGCTGGAATACGCGAAGTTTGTTTAGTTTACATAGAACATCTGATGGAGATATGATATCAAATAATTCAAGTCTTCAAGATTTTGTATACTCGGAGCAAATAGACATCGTTTTCCTCACTGAAACGTGGCTGTCCGATAAACACTTTGATGCAGAAATTTTACGTCAAGATTATAACGTTTTCCGTGTCGACCGTAAATGTAAAACCGGCGGTGGCGTACTAATAGCTACAAAAGAGTCTTCTTTTACAGAAACCAAGCAAGTATGCTTTAATCAATTAGATACTGAACTAGAAATCGTCTGCGTTGAATGCGCCACTAACAATGCGCGAATCCTTGTTGTCTGCTGCTACAGAGCTCCTGACTCCTCGTCAAAATGGCTTCTCTCCTTTAAAAAGTTCTTAGACTACATCATGGACACTTACGATAAAATTATAATGACTGGTGATTTCAACTTCCCGCGAATCTCGTGGTCTGAAAGCATGGTTATCCCAACCGGTGAATCCGAGAGATTTTTCTACAACACCTTATCTGACCATTACTTAAGTCAATTGATCTTCGCTCCAACAAGAGAAACTAACGTTCTTGATCTTATCATGACAAACATTCCAGACAACGTTAACAACATTGAAGTAATTGATCCAACCAATTTCAATTTGTTTTCCGACCACAAGTGCATACTCTTTGAGTTTCAAAGTACAGCAACACCTTCCCACAAGCTCAAAAGATCGGTTTACGATTACAACCGTGCGGATTTTGAAAAAATGATCCGTACTTTTGAACCGATTGAATTTGAATTTAGCGATCCCACATCGATGTCCGACATTAACGAGAACTGGAATTTATGGAGAGACACTTTCCTTGCTGTAGCTGACGAATGTATTCCAACAAAGATTGTAAAAGGAAGGTACAATCCACCATGGTTGACCGGTGAGATAAAATCTTTGATCAAA